CAATCAGTGAGAACAGAGAGTAAAAAATAAGAAGAAGAATTTGCCCCACATGCTTGGGAATTTCAGCTTCTCTGGTGCCCTCTCTCAAAGACTTTATGTGTCTACCTGGCCACCAAAATCACTCTGCACTGCTACCAATAGAATTTCCTGGGGGCTGAGTGAGGAAATTACAGAAAGGGGGTTGGGGGGAACAACACGGTATTTCACCCACTCTCTTACTCTTAGAGATTCTCTCTCACTCCACAGGCCGGAAGAGAAGGCTCCTCTGGGAGCACTTTTTCCCTGCACCCCCTGTGCACTTCTGGGTTTGGGGCTGCTGTGGAGTCCAACCTAAGTAATACCACAGGGGAGAGGGAATGGTAACCGCACTGCCCATTTGGTGATGCTTTAAATCCTAATCTTCTCCCCCAGTATTCCAACTATCGTTTACTTTTGAGTCCTCAAATTGTGGCCCCCTGCATTCTTTCCAAGGTTTATAGCTGCATCCGGTGGGAGACACCAGGTGGGAGGAGCTCACTCCATCTTACCTGGATCTGGAAACTGTCGCCTTGTGTTTTGTCTTTGTTCTTTTTAAACAAGAATCACTTGTCTGTTCAAAAGAAAGCTCTAAACCCAATTGTGTTTTGTTGTTCAAACGTCTGTCGTGAAACACTGCGTCCTTTCCTAGTGGCATCGGGATGGGACTGTCACCTCCTGTTCCTTTACAGGGACGCAGCTGACTGTGGAGGTCCACCCTCGAGACGCCATGCCCGAGCTGCTTAAGAAGTTTTCCTTGGATAAACGTACGTACGTACAGGGCTGCTTGTGTGTGGAGGTCTGGCAGGGAGGATTGAGGGCAACTGAATGGACAGAGCCCAGCCTGGGCATCTTCTGGGGTAAGGAGAGGAGTAACCTTGATGTACACACTGGTAAGAGGCACAGGTATGACAGCCTCATGCAGGGTGCTGTTTCTGCTCCATTCCCAGAAATCACTATTCTTGAGTGTCTGCAGTTTGGTGTGGGTAATCAGGCATTTAGCTAAAGATGAATTGCATCACAGGAGTGTTATTGTTTTTAGATGCCATTTATTGACTGTCTGAAAGGTACCATGTAAGTTTTTTTACATTCGTTAACGTTGGAATATACCAGTATTATACCCACTTTTTAGATCAGTAAAGTGAGGCCCAGAAAGGTGAAATAACTGCTAAGGGACCAGCTGGGAAGAGGGTCAGAACCCAGGTCCACCTGAGGCCTATGCTCTTCCCCACCATATGTGGCCAGCCTCAGTGCAGTGCACACAGGCCCAGACCCAGGCCCACGGTGTCTCCTCCACTCCCTTCTTAGATTTCCCCCTGTATCTGTCCATCTTGTGGCTAAACAAGGGCCTAGGGAAATGCCAGCCGAAGAACAGAGGCTACAGAGCAGCCAAGACTCAGGTTCTCTCCGAGTCCACTCAGCGGGCCAAGGCGGAACCTCCCAGTCTGCCTGGTCCTACAGCCCTCGCAGTCAGGATCTCGGGAGGACAGTCAAATGGAGAGAGAACAGACCCTGGGAATCCACTGGCTGGGTTCAGATCTCAGCCCTGTGACCTGGGGCAACTGGCTTGACCTCTCTCTTGGACTCAATTTCCTCATCTGTAAAAGGAGGAAAGCAATTCGGCATCCCTCATAAGATTCTCGTGAAGTCGAATGAGAGGTACCAGGTACAGTGCCAATACAAAGCACAAGCCAGGCGTACTAAGGACACAATAAAGGCAAGCTTCTATTTTGAACCCCCATTATTCTACCAGAGAAGGTAGATGGAAAAAAAATGTAGGTGCAAGAAAAGGCCCACTGTTACTAGAATGGCCTTCATAACTCTGCAACCTTCTGTTGTTATATTTACAGCCTACAGTGGGCTTCAGGGGCATGAGACAGCTGCTTCGGCACCCCACCCCCAGCTCCTCCAGGTCCCCCCAGGAACCTCATCTTCCTGACCTGCTTTCAGATCAGCAGGAAGAGCTCCTCTCCTGTTGCCCATGGAGTCTAAGAACTGTTGGCAACCGTCCTGCCTTAACAGTCCTGGATTTATAGGATGTGGTTGCCCTGGAACCTTCCCAGGGAATAATTTAATAATTGCTCTCTGGATTTCAGCTCCATACAAACTACTTTTCTCTCGCCCCACTTTCATGTCTGTCCATGGTCAGTTCTTGTCCAGGGTTATCTGGCACGAATTCGCCGGTGCTCCCGGCATCCCCAGCTGTGCTGCTGGGAGGGAGGAGCGTGTGGGGGAGGGCAGGAGCAGCAGGCCCCGGGCGGGCCACTAAATAATCCAAAATGTTGCTGTCGGAGGAAATGCTCGCAGATGGCAGGTGTCTTTCTTGTCACCCTTCCCTGGTTCCCTGCCCCACGAGGACGTCTAGGGCAATTTCAGTAGCAATTTGGTGGGAGGTGGGGATGGGAGCAAGAAGGCTCTGAGAAGGAGAGTGAAGGGGAGGGGTCAGAAGCAAGGACCACACAGAGAATCGTCTGTGCTTGCATTTCTGTTTCTTCTGAAGTGTCTCTACTCCTGCTCTTTGGGATATTGTAGGTTTGCAAGGTGATAAAAATGGAAACACAAGACCCCGGCAGCCTGGAGGGAAGGATGCCCATGGTAAGTTGCAGGACCATCTGCTGGGCTGTTCTATGAGACGGAATTGGTTTAGCCTCATGGGGGAGTCTCCAATCGATTGAAAATGGCTCCCTGGGTCCCTGTGCTGAGAGTCAGGGGCCACCTCTGGGCTCAGAGAGGGAGGAGGAGTGTGAATGATTAGTAATGTTTGCCATGGACACAGGGGGCGAAGTAAAAAACTCACACACCAGGTGTGAGCCCTAAGCTAAAGCACAAACCCCACCAATAACAAGGCAGCCCATTGTGGGAGACATATTAAAACAAGAATCCAGAATTGTGCTAACTTTGAATAGAATGCCAAGCACCTGTAAGGTCGGAGACATGCAAATAAGCAGAGTGGGGCAGAGGAGGAAACCCTGCGTGGGGTGATAGACAGCCTGGGTTCGAATCCTGCTTTTGTTCCCCCCTCACCTTTCCTGGGCCTCAGTTTCCCCCTCAGTAAACCAGATGGCATCTAAGGTTTGGTACAGGTGGCATCTAAGGTTTGGTTCTTCCCATTGTTTGGCTTTAAAATTAAAATAATTTTGTTAATGCCACTGGCATTTTAAATGTATTTGTGCAAACTCATATTTGGATTTCTATAATCTGCTCAGGAGGTAAACTTAATGAGGCATAAATCATTCTGGGTAATTTTAATGTTCAGATATTGTAAAACAGAACCAAGAAAGGGTAGGGTTTTCAGTCCCGTTTTAGAAATGCCACCTTTCTTTTAAATGGGGGCAGGGAGGCCTCATTTGCAGAGCTGTATGGAGCAGAAATTGTTCGATGTGCAAGTCCCTTTCTTATCCACTTAGGTCACCCTGTCGGCCCTTGTCAGAGAATGGCAGGAGCCAGATTCCATGGAGGGAGAGGGCACTGAGAAATGGGAGGGGCTCATGAGGGCCTGCCGCCATGTCCCCGGGCCCTTCTGAGGGGCTGGCTGGGCCAGGGCTGCACTCAGGCCACGCAGGGTAGGGACTGATGGTGCCCTAAGTGATGGCAGACGAGAAGTCCCAGCTCCGGCACCAGAGCGGTCACCATGATGGTGCTGGGCTTCCTGGGAGTGCTAATGTGAGGTTGTGCAGGACAGCAGGATCTGGGGTGTGGGGTCCAGGAAATGCCTTAGTCCTCATAGAAGAAGCAGAAGAAGAAAGAGAATGCTAAGTTGCTGAGTGAGGCCACAGCTTTACGGTAGGGACCTTGGAGCGGTGGGGAGATGCAGAAGGATCCATGCAGCCTGCTCCTGGCAGCTAAACTTGACCAGCTGCCTAACCAGCTGGCACGGCCTCTCATCCAGTGCCGGCCCAGCGAGGGTCATGGAGCAGCTCAGGCCGGAGCTGGTGGTGACACCCATCCTCACCTTCTCACCACATCTCTGGGGTCTGTAGCACCAAGGTGTGGGCAAATGCACAGGGCGTTGAGGCTCATAGCCGGCCTCCTGCACTTGCCTGCAGAGACCCCACCCTGCACCCTCGGGGAGCGAGTGACACTGACCGTACAACCTGCTCCACTGTCTCGTTCCCCTGTGTCTCCAAGACCCCAAACCAACTCAACCAAGAGATCTTTCTGAGAGAGACAGCTCTTGGGAGCAGAGTTTCAGGCTCTGAGAATCATGCTAAAAGTCGGGCAGGCACAGCTTCTCAAAAAGACAGGGAGGCCTGAGCCAGGCAGCCCTCGTCAGCAGGTCTCAGCAGCTGACCAAGCCCCCCTGTGTTTCCAGCCTACCCCTGGGATCGGTCCAGCCTGAAATCCATGCCCCTGGACCTGCAGCAGTTTGAGAAACTGGACACGTATGCCTCACAGGTAGGAAAGCTGGCCCTTCTGCCGACCGCACTCCAGGGTGGCTCGGAGCTCCCTGAGCCAGGGAAGCTCAACCTTTCCCCAGGCCCCTCCTGAATGTATCCCGAGTCCCTTGGATGGATGGCCCAGGGTGCCTTTTCACAGTGTATGGATGGGGGACAGAAGGCCCAAGGCAGCAGGCCCTGCCCAGGACCAAAGGCCATTCCACCACCCGCGGCCCCACCGCAATCCTGATGCTTCCATCCCAGGCTGCACACCCTGCAGCCGCGTCATTGGCAGGCCCCCCTGTCCTGCCCTCTGCCTGCCCATTTTGGCATTGCTACTACTGAGCCATGCCAGCCCCAGCCCAGGAAGGGCGGGAGGAGGAGGGTGGAGAGGACCGTAAATGCAGATGGCCAGCACCCACTGTGACCACAGCCAAGCTCATCCCTTGAGCGTGTAGGCTGCTGAGCTCTCACATCTTTGGGCCTGGACACGTGTGGCATGGGGGTGGGGAGGAGCAGCTATAAGAGCTGAGGCACGAGGGGCACACTGGGGTCGTGAGAGCCAAGCAGGACCCTCACCACAGAGAATCTGATTGGAAGGGCCAAGGAGCTGGACCTGCTGTGATATCAGATGAGCCATCCGAGGCTGGCAAGCCAGGAAGTCATCTATAGGCTGCTGGCCAGGCTCAGAGGGCAATGCCAGATGCCTAGCTACAGCCACAGATGCGCCACGGAGCAGTGGAAAACCAGAGCCAGCCAGACCCAGGGAGGGTCAGGGGTGGGGACCAGTGGACCAGAAGCCATGGACTAAAGTTTGGGGTTAAATCGGGAGTCAGCCTGGCCATAGTGTGGACCTGCAATGTGTTCTAGGCCCTGTGAGAGGGACAAAGACAAGGATGTGGCGTTGGTGCTGGACATAGAAGAAAAAGAAGCAGAGAGCAGCAGGGCGAGTGGGTGACAGAAGATGGGCCCAGAGGTCTCCTTGTGGTCAGAGAGTGGGTCCTGGAGTTCCAGTGAGCAGTGGGGCAGTCGCAGGAGATAATAGGTCAAGGAGTGCCCTAGGGTGAGGGCTGAGGGACATGTGGGCAACTGTGGCCCAACTGAGCCTCCAGTGGCCCCGTCTTCTCTAGAAAGATTGAATAGGGTCAGGACTGCCTTTTCAGCAACCCCAACCCTGTTTCCTCCTGAGGGCCCCTGTGAGAAAACCTAATTTGTTCCTTTTTTTAATTGTGGTAAACTATATACAACATAAAATTGCCATTTTAATAATTTATAAGTGGCATTAATTACATTCACAGTGTTGTATAACCATCACCACTATCTACTTCCAAAACCAGAAAATCTATACCCATTAAGCAATAAGTTCCCATTCTCCCTCACCCCAGCCCCTGGTAACCTCTAATTTACTTACTGTCTCTATGAATTTACCTATTCTAGATATTTCATATAAGTGTAATCATACAATATGTGTCCTCTTATGGCTGGCTTATCTCACTTAGCATCATGTTTTCAAGGTTCATTCATGTTGTAACACATATCAGAACTTCATTCTTTTCAATGGATGAATAATATTTCATGGTTTGGACCTATCACATTTTATTTATCCCTTTGTCTCTGATGGACACATGGGTGGATTCTACCTTTTAGCTATTGTGAATAATGTTGCAATGAACGTTTGTGAACCATTATCTGTTTGAGTCCCTGTCTTCAGTTCTTTTGTGTATGTACCTAGGAGTGGAATTACTGGATCATATGGTAGTTCTATGTTTAACTTTATGAGGAATACCCAAACTGTTTTCCACAACAGCTGCACCATTTTACATTCCCACCAGCAATGTACAGGGTTCTAATTTCTCAACATTCTTGCCAACACTTCTTGTCTGTCTTTTTTATTACAGCCATCCTTGTAGGTGTGAAGTGATATCTCTTTGTGGTTTTGATTTTCATTTCCCTATTGACTAATGATATTGAGCATCTTTCCATGTGTTTATTGGCCATTTATATATCTTTGGAAAAATGTATATTCAAGTCCTTTGCCCATTTTAAAAGTGGGTTGTCTTTTTGTTGTTGAGTTGTAGTTCTTTATATATTCTGGATATTAAACCCTTATCAGATATATTATTTGAAGATATTTTCTCCCATTCTGTAAGTGGTCTTTTCACATTCTTAATAATGATCTTTGATGCACAGAAGTTTTTTTTTATTATTATGAAGTCCAATTAATCTATTTTTTCTTTTGTGCCTTGTGCTTTTGTTATCATATCTAAGAATCCATTGCCAACTCCAAGGTCATGATGATATGCCCATGTTTTCTTCTAAGATTTTTATACTTTAAGTCTTATGCTTAGGTCATTGGTCCTTTTTGAGTTAATTTTTTATATGGTGTGAGGTAGGGGTTCTACTTTATTATTTTTATATGGATATCCAGTTGTTCAACATCATTTGTTAAAGAGACTATTCTTTCCCTTATTGAATGGACTTGGCACCCTTATCAAAAGTCACTTAGCCAATAGATGTATTATGAGTTTATTTCTGGGCTCTCAATTCTATTCCATTGGTCCATATGATCCATTGTGTCAGTACCACACCATTTTGATTACTGTAGCTTTGCAGTAAGTTTTGAAATACAAAAATATGAGTCTAACTTTTTTTTTTCAAAATTGTTTTGACTATTCCAGCCCCTTGCAATTCTATATCAATTTGAGTATTGGTAAAAAAGAAAAAAAAAGGCTATTGGAATTTTATATAGAGTCTGTTAACTCTGTAGATTGCTTTGGATAATATTAGCCATGACTAGGGGCTGCTACAGCCAACCAGATACCCACCTGGCTGATCCCAAAATTTACAAAGAAAAGAGATGTAGTGTCCTCTAGGGCTCTAGGGCCAGTGAGTCAGCTGGTCAGCACTACCCATCATGTTACCCACCCCCCACCCCAACCAGGTGCCCTCAGCCCAGCCTTTTGTTCCTTCTGGGCCTCTTCCTCTTCCTTCTTTGCCTGAAGGAAAAGGAACCCTGGCTCATTGACAGGGTGCTGGCTCCCCACACCCCCCTCCCAGGCCCTGACACAGCACCCCCTTCCATCCCCCAGGTGACAGTCAAGAGTGGCCTGGATGAGCTGGTGAACGACCTGCTCCAGGAGGCCCACAGTGACCTGGAGAGAGTCCGTGCCATCTGGATCTGGATCTGCCACCATATAGGTAGGACCACCTGTGGTGTTAGTGGCTCTAGGACCCTTTGGTGCCACTCCTGCAGGCCCTGTTCCCAGAGTAGTATCTCTGAGACTCACTCAATCACCAGTGAGTGTGGAATGAGATGAAAGACAGAGGACAGGGGCTCCCATATGACTTGATTGAATAACCTAAGACTAACCAAGCAGAATAAAAGTCACCATGAAGGGTCATTGGGTAGAGGGTCCCACATGGCCCTCTGCCCATGGCCAGTGTCCAGAGCTGAGGCCTTTCCTTCAGTCCTGGCTTCCTGGTAAAACTGCTCCAGAGAGATGAGAACCCAGGGCAGGTCATTTTCAAAAAGGATGATCATCAGTTGGGGAGGAGTCATAGCTGTTTGAAAAGTTATTGCAACCAGAGTTTGCTTAAGTCCCAGTGCCGGGAAGGGTGGGCTCTCCTCTCCCTGCTCCTGTTCCCATACTAGCAACTTCAGCCACTGGTCTCAGCGCAGTGTCTAGGTTCTCAGAGCCGCCTACAGCCCTTCACAGCACCATCTTGGGAGTCTTACCAGGCCAAGCCAAGCCAAGCCCCACAGGTGGTTGCTAAGACGATAATAGATGCTACCCCTTGCAGTCGATGGGAGAACCAGGTGGTGGGTGTACTTTCAGTGTTTCCCCTGTGACATAAGGACCAGGGGACTCTCCTGACCCGCTGCCACTCGGCTTTTCCTTTGTCTTCCCAAAGCAGCAGGTAGAGAGGCAGTTGGATGAACTCACCTGACACAGGTAGGGGGTGTGACCATAGGCCTGAGGGGCCACCTGCTTCCACCCCAACCCCAGCGGCTCAGCCTGGGCCTTAAGGGGGCAGGATCAGAAACAGAATATTTGGTAGAACATTTACACACACACACACACACACACACACACACACACACACACACACAAATATTTGTGTCCTCAGTGCACATTGTGCCTCAGGGCCCCACCGCAGGCCTCCAGCTCTCTTGTTAGTGAAGTGACAGGCTGTAGGTGAGCAGTCTTCTCTATTTGGGGCAAGCTTTGACAGTAGCTCAGCGCCCCCTGTGGGTCAGTGTGAGGCCTTGGCCTTGGGGGCCGCAGCAGGGACAGGAACAGCGTCCCTGGAACAGCCTGCAGAGCTGTGTGGAGGTGGGATAAGTATGCAGAGCCCTCCACGCCCGATGCTTCTCCCGGGCCCGAGGGAGGCCAGCCCAAATTCTGTTGAAAACACAGCTGAGGGCAGGGGCTGTGGACCCCCTCTCACAGCCTCCTGCTCTGCCCTCTAGAGTACGACATCGAGGCTGCCCAGGAGAAGGACCGCCAGGCCTTCAAACCCAGCAACATCCTGAAGACCCAGAAGACCAACTGTGATGGCTACGCGGGGCTCTTTGAGAAAATGTGCAGGTACCAGAGAGGCCACCCCCACCCACCCCTCCCCCTTCCAAAGTGCTATGAGCCTTCGCCCACATGCCAGCCCTGAAACCTGAGTTTGCAAACTCTGCTCTGGAATCCAAGTGAGTCCTGAAAAGGTCAATTTCTCCCGTTTTAACACCAGCATAATTGACTTTGTACCATCTGCCAGGCTTCGCGATGCATTAACATAATGGCAGATGAATGCACAGAAATAATTTGGTTATAAAAGGCCCTTTTTCCACCTTCTCCATCTCTGTGCAGCTGAAGGTTAGAAGAATGGCAGATTTGGGAAGGGGAGGACAGTGGCTGCTGACGCCAAGGGGACTGTGAGAGGCTTGTCCTCCAAGTCTGGCACAGGGGGCCTCTCTCAGGGGAAGCAAAAACTCTCCTACCTGAAAGAGTTGTCACTAGGAAGCAGCGTCTGTCTCGGAGCCTTTGGGCTCCGTGTTCATTGCTCTGGGAGTGAGCACCTGGCCAGGTTGCCTGGGTGGGTGACAGCGGCTGACTGGCCGGTAAGGAAACCATTTGTGTTTGGGGTCATCACTGCCAGGTCTGGGTGACCCTGAGACAGACTCAAGGCTGGGGGAGCCCCACTGATCCCCGCAGTTCCTGTACCTGCTCTCTGAGGTCTGCTGGGTTCCCCAGGACACAATCAGCCAGCCCCAGGGGCCACTGAAAACCCCCCAGCCCAGGGGAGGGATGCCCCGCTGTCCACTCTGCAGGCCCCTGGGAGTGTGTTTTCTCAGGCACCGGGACTGCGGGGGGCGAGCCATCAAACCAAGTGTAGCAGGTGGCTGCAAGGTGTCCTATTCTACCAGACATCCACCCACTCAACTGATTCCTGGCCTCACCCCCAGTGCTTGCCTCCCACATCCCCATCTCCATCGCCATGTTCCTGCCCCTCCTGCCCCTCCCCTCCCCGGCCTCAGGGCCCACCCTGCGACCACAGAGGCAACCAGGGCAGGTCAGGTGCAGAGGATACCAGCCCCTCCATTCCCATTCACTCAGCCAGAGCAGCCCTCACGACCCCTAACGTTCCCACTGCCACCCCACCCCAGACCTAGGTCCCCCCACGTGCCTTTGGGCCCCTTAAGGAGCTGGGATCCTCTCCAGGCCCCTGCCCAGGCTCCTCTGGCCCCAGGTTCCTGAACAAGACTGCCCTGGAAAGTCCTCCAGAATCCGACCCCAGCCACCCTTCCAGGCCTGCGCCCTTTGAGGCCGCCCACACCTCCGGAGCTCAAGGCGCCCCTCTCCCTAATGCTCCTTCCAGGCCCCGCGCCAGGACGTCATCAGCACACCTCATCCACACGCTCCTGTCTTGCCTTATGCTTTTACTGAATACGTTTCTAAATTAAAAATATACTTGTTAATTGTAGGTGATGTGTAAAGTGCACAGAAGCAAAAAGAAGCAAATTAAATGACTCTGAATCACATACGCACATACAGATAACATTGTCATATGCCTCCCTGGGCTTTGTTCTCCCATAGAGGTGCTAACCTGTGTCCAGTTCCTCTCATTCCTCTCACATGTCGACAGGTCTAATATGTCTTCGCATATTGAGAGACTCTCTCTCTCTCTCTATCGCTCTCTCTACTATAATTTACTTAGCAAATCTCCTATATTGCACAAATGTATTGCTTCCTCCCTTACATTATTACCACACACTATGGGCACTTAGGCATCTATAAAAAGAAAGGATATTATATTACTTTTACACA